TGAGAATGACGAGCGTCTTGTCGGCCGACCCAGTTGTTGTGGTGAGTGGAATTCGGGTGGCGATAGCTGGATCGAGATTTGCATAGATCCGTTGAATGTCCGAAGAGTTTGCATATTATGCAATAGTGGCGCCTTGGTTGTCGTCGCTCTTCACGGTTGTCTACGTAGAAGGCACGGCGCTCTCGACGCGGCGCGGAGCTTGTTCTGCTCGAATCCATGTCCTGCTGTTCAGTTAGGAGAGCGGCGCATAGCGCAGCTTCAAAGATAATTCCTCGCTGTCAAAGTAGCGCTTTATAGGGCTTCTACTCTGGCTTGAGTCCTTGAAGGACTATATTGACGAATTTCGCTTCCGAGATTGCGCTCCCATGCTTCGTGATCGGGTCACGGATGTTCTGACAGCGGCTAATATAAGAGTTTGCTTTCTCCCCGTGCCCCATCTTTGTCTCCATGAGTTGCTGCAGGAGCCTGCTGGCGGTGACCGAATCCTTCGGTTGATATACCTCAATGAGGTGCTTCCATACTTCCAAGGCTAGAGCGGGGCTCTCTTTGTAGGAGCGAATGGTAAGTTGTTCCGCAGGCGTCATATTTCGTAGCAGCACACTATACACCATGAGGGACTCGCTATAGTACAGAGCCTTGGCGTCGTCGGTGTCTTCCACCGGTTTTGGGTAGGAGCCATCGAAGCAATGGTAGGTCTGCGCTGTCTGTAGGAGGAGCTCAAGCTCGAAACTCCATGTATAGAAATCTTCGCCGTCAAACGCGGCAGTAGTCTTGATTCTCTAAACGCTGAGGAAGCATGCTTGTGCAGAGTTGATAACTTCATCACTTGGAGGGGGGGGCAGTAGTTGTTGATTTGTCTGTGTCGAGGGAGAAGGTGTGCGCGGCAGTATCACGACTTTTCGCAGTCGGTTGTCCAGGTTGAGCTGGTTGGGAAGATGTTCCCGCATCGCCTTTGCGATGTTCTTGGAGATCTTTCTCCATAGTTGATAGTCGCTGATCATGGTTGTCGCCTCATTTGTCATAGCCAGATTGGTTTGTCTTTCGGCCGTCAGGTTTGCTTGGCCTCCGGATCCTCCGGCCATCTTGGTCTTGGAGCGTGTGCCGCTCGCCAGATCTTGGTTCGGCGAATTTCACGGAAGTGAAGTTGCGAAGAATCCTTGAGTAGCTCTCATACCATGTTACAATCCCAAGTCGGACTTAGCGAAGGATTTGGGGTTGATCGTAGGGTAGTATTGCAGCGGAAGTATTGAACTCAGGTCAGAGTGAATGTAAATGACAGAGATGATAAAAACATGCATATATCGGGTTTATGTAAGAAAACAAGGGAATACGAAAAGACCTAGACTAGCCATGAACTCTAAGGGGTACATTCTTTTATTGCAGCGAATTCAAACCGTGCGGCGCGGGAACCCGTTTCAAACTTGTTCCCGCTCCTTTCACTGCAAATGTTTCTGCCAGCATCGGTCTTGGTCAGACGGTTGTTGCGTCGCTTCGACTCTTCTGACTCCTCGACTTCATATTCGGTAGAGTTGGCTCCTGCAGCATACAGGAATGCCTTCTCATATGATTTCATATTGTAACAAAGGGGATAGGCAAGATGTGCATGAAGGAAACTGTCTTATATATAAATTACATGAGCCACGTTAGCAGAGAGGCTACTTGGGGGGGGATGAGGGAGGGGGAGGGGGGGGGGGGAGCAGTGTAGGTGGGGGGAGGGCTGCTGGAAGACGGATAAAATGGTTATGGATCTAGGGGGTTGCAATGAGAGAGAAAGGTGGGTCTTTTTTGCTGGAGTCAATATTCGGGCCTAAGAATAGGGCTGGATTGACGAGGCCCTTGTCGGAGATTGGACAACGCATGTCCTCATCCTCTTCCTACGTCATTTGCCTGAAGTTCGTGGATGACAAAAGGAAGCCCTTTTCAGACAATGTGGATGTTCAAGACCACCCGCGCCATCATCACGGGAGGCTGCACACCGCTGGTGCAACCTCTAAATGTGTTTGTTAACTGCAGCCTCAAAATGGGGGTGCATCATCAATACACAATGTGGTTTGTGGAGGATGACATTCACCACAAAAAAACGAGCACGTGGTTTCGTCTTGTGCATTCACCTTTTGCTATGTGTTGCCGGTTTCTGAAATCTGCTTACGCATGTTTGTCCTCTACCCTGTCACCCACATGGAACTTGAAGAAACCACCTCCAAAGGTTATGCTAGGGTGGATTGTCGATGCGTGTGCCAACTTGCCAGAAGAGCTCGTCATGAAGTCCTTCTTGATGAGCAGGATTTCCGCAACAGAATAAGGCTTAGAGCACAATTTTATCTTGGCCCATCCTCGAACCAAGGCTGGAGTGGAAGTGCTTGAAGAGGGTGAGGAGGAGACTCTCCTCAACCCATTCTACAAAGTCCCTTGAAGAAGACAAGATGGGGATAAGGCGGAGGCAGAACTCAGCGCGAACACCTACGCGATTTATAAGGAAGATGCACAGGAGGAGGCTATTTAAGCTATAGAGGACATCACTGAAGAAGACGCTGCTAAATGCCCCTGTTCCAGGCAAGCGTGGTGAATGGAGTGATGCAGATGTGGAGTGGTGAGCCCCTAGGCTATGAGGCTGAGGAACTTGATTTCTAGGATGCGACCCAGGATGAGAGCTAGCCATCAGCATGAATTCATGTTTTCAACTAATGATAGCTAGGATTTCAAGTACCATGCAACTTGTTAGTTTCTTGGGTTTCCTCGAGTGTAGTCGGCTAGCTAAGAATGTATGGTCAAACTTATTTTGTGATTGAAAACAACCTTAACGGTCAAGGGGGGTTGTTATATATTGTAAGGGGTATAAAAGTAAGGGTGTATCCCTGGGTGGTGGCAGGGCCACTGTAGTAGGCACTGTTGGTGGCATGCGGGAAAACCGCATGCCACCAACATTTTGCCCGAGGCGCTCGCGACACGAATTTGGTGGCATTGAAATGACATTTTTGGGACATAGCCCAATCACGCACCTGTATTTGCGCGCCAGTTTCCTGACACCAACCTGATGTTTTATGTGTTCGTAGCAGGCTGCCATCTACAGTGGCTCTGCCACCACCCACGGATACGACCTAAATTGAGGTCGAACTTAGGGGGTGTGTCAAACATTATTTTATATAAACTGCTTACAACATAGCTGGTTTAGTTATGTTGTATTCAACATTGTTTGTGGTGCACCGGACCTGGCCCACCTCGTGCTTGTATTTCTTGGTCTCTTGGCCTTTCTTCTTGTCCTCTTTCATCTCTCAACTTCCTAAACCTTCAAGTTCCTAGCTTTCACTTTTAATAGCACCCATCCACACATAAGCTACCCCAGGGTCACTAATCGCTAGGGGCGGTATATCCGGGGGATTGTGGTAGGTGCACAAACAGGAAATAACTACACTAGCTTAAGGGTTGTGCTTTTTTCTCGAGGATCATATTATGCTGGCATTTAGATACTCCAGTCCACGGTTAACAAAGACAAGCGCAACAGAATGAAATAACAAAGAGCAATGAGCTGCACATGGGACAAACATTTACACATTTGCCCAAAATTCCATATACTTCAGCCTCATGCTAATGACATGCCGCTCATGGACGTGCTTGATTGATTTGCGTTAAACTTAGGTTGAGATCCAATGGTCCAGCACTCTCAACCAATGTTGATGGAAGACTTTGTGGAAGCTCACTCCTTGACTCTAATGAGGATGCTCCTATATCTGCAGCACCTCGTGTTACACCATGCTGATGATAATGAGGAGGCTGATGCTGCTGCTGCTGTGATAAACTAGTCTGTTGCTGCGGATGAGCCTGCACTTGCCGATGCCGTTCCAGCAGCTGAAGCACAATTTCTTGCTGCAGTTTCTCCTTTTCCTGTTTCAAGAGCTGCTCCAGTTGCTCTTGGTGGTGCTGCTGCTGCTCTTGTTGCCGCTGCTGCTGTTGAATTTGCCGTGGCTGTTGTTGTTGCCCCTGTTGTTGCTGTCTTGGCTGGTGCTGCTGCTGTTGTTGCTGTCTCGGCTGCTGCTGCTGCTGCTGCTGCTGCTGCTGCTGCTGCTGCTGCTGCTGCTGCTGCCATTGCTGCAGTTGCTGCTGCTGCTGCTGCTGCTGCTGCTGCTGCTGCTGCTGCTGCTGCTGCTGCTGCTGCTGCTGCTGCTGCTGCTGCTGCTGCTGCTGCTGCTGCTGCTGCTGCTGCTGCTGCTGCTGCTGCTGCTGCTGCTGCTGCTGCTGCTGCTGCTGCTGCTGCAACACTTGCAGAAGCATTTCCACGTTGATCGACTGGTCAGGAATCAAAGGCACCTGGGCAGCATCGGCAGCTGCCATAGCTACTGCACTCTCCCTTCGTCCCGTCTCCGCTGGCCCCTGCAGAACTACTTGTCTCCAAATTAACCCCTCACTTACCCGCCCACCTGAGTTCAAACTCTGGCTGGCGTGGGAGCTCCTGATGCTACCAGATAGACTTTCCCACGTCTCCCTGAACCTCATTTGCGCATCACTCACCCACGGCTGACTGGCACTGCCCTGTGCTGCTAGTAAGCATGGGCTCTGCGAACTTGGTAGCTGCTGTGATTGGCCGGGTGATAGCGCAGGAGCGATAGACTCTGAACATTGGATGAGGTTCTGACCTTGCAGCCTTGGATGCCGTTGCACCTGCAGTTCGATCTGCCGCTGCCGTTGTTGCTGCTGCTGTTGGTGCTGCTGCTGCTGATCTTGCTGATGCTGTTGCGGTAGCTGCTGCACTTGCGGTAGCTGCTGCACTTGCGGCAGCATTGGTGCCTCTCCTGGTGCCTGCAATAGCCTTTGCACCTGCAATGGCAATCGCCCTGCCAAGCCCTGAACCAGCATCATCCGAATCTGCTCCAAGCCTCCTCCCTGCATCAACTCTTCCCCCACAGACCCTCCTTGCGCTGCTGACTGCCCTTGTCCTACCCTCCCTTCTGACTCATGCTCATGCTCACACTGTCCCTGCAGCTGCGGCCGTCTCTCCACACTATTCACCAATATGCCTTCTGCCAACCGCAGCTGCCCTCCTCCTCCTCCTCCTCCTCCTCCTCCTCCTCCTCCTCCTCCTCCTCCTCCTCCTCCTCCTCCTCCTCCTCCTCCTCCTCCTCCTCCTCCTCCTCCTCCTCCTCCTCCTCCTCCTCCTCTTCCTCCTCCGACTCCTGCCAATACCACACCGCTTCGCATCTCACCCACTGCTCTCCTCCCAACCCCTCCTGTCCGCACCTGCTCAGCTCCAGCCTGTGTGCTGAGACCCAAGCCCTCTGCTCGTTGCAAAGCAGGGACTAGCATCCGTTCTGAAGTTACAGGCGTGCCCTGTGTGCTGCTCACTGTACCAGCTCCATAAGCACCGTCCCCCCCTTGCGCCCGTCGCTGTGCCACCAGCCGCTGAAGGTGCCTCAACACGTCGCTACCATCATCCATCATTTGCCCCTGCCCCTGCCCCTGCCCCTGTCCCTGCCCCTGCCCCTGTCCCTGCCCCTGCCCCTGCCCCTGCCCCTGCCCCTGCCCCTGCCCCTGCCCCTGCCCCTGCCCCTGCCCCTGCCCCTGCCCCTGCCCCTGCCCCTGCCACTGCCCCTGCTCCAACAGCTCCCGCTGTCGCTGCTCCTGCTCTTGCGCCTTCCACTGCCCCTGCTCCAACAGCTCCCGCTGTCGCTGCTCCTGCTCTTGCGCCTTCCACTGCCCCTGCCCCTGCCGCTGTCCCTGCCACGCCTGCTCTTGTGCCTGCCCCTCTTCCTGCTTCATGTGCTCGCTCTCCAGTCCTTGCTCACCTGCCCCTGACTGCGCTTGCCCTTGCCTTGAACCAGGAACCTTTGTCTCCCCCGCACTCTTGGTGCTGCCGCTCTTGGTGACGCCGCTCTTGGTGCTGCGGCGGAGAGGGCCCTTCCAGTGCTTCCGCATGTGCCCTCCCAATGCCTGCCCTGAGAGAAACACCTTGTTGCACACACCACACATCTTCACACCCGCAAGCACCTTTGCAGCACCGTCGATGCTGCTTCCGCCGCCGTCAGTACCACCCGCTGCGTATTCCTCTATTGCTACCTCCTCCCCACCTATGTTTCTCGCCGATTTGAAACGGCCCCCATGCACCGTGCCACCACTGACACCCCCTTCTCCCCTTTCATCCACTCTCCCTTCCCCTCTATCCCCTCCGTCCCGCTCCACGCTTCCTTCTTCTTCCCTCGCATCTCCAGACACTGCGACCATACCAGTGGCATCAGCCTGCGGTTGCCTCAATGAGCCGGCAGCAGCAGATCCCTCGCACGTGCTTGGTCCACCAATTCCTCTTCCTCGTTTGTGTGCTTCGATCCCCTTCTCCGGTTCAGATGCAGCTGCGGCTTGCTCTCCTCCTTCAGCAATTGGCCAGAATCCTTGACCAGCTGCTGCAATGATAGCCTTGCTCTCTGTTGCTGTGCCAATGTGCACGTCCGTATGGTGAATATCCGGTGTCATGTTCAGATCTATAACTTCAACCGTGGAAGCACTTTCGTTGGAATCCAAACCCAAGTTGCCTCCCTCTCCCCTGCCTCTTGGATGCTCCGTGCCTTCTTCCTTCACCGCTAATCCAAGACTTTTCTCTCCCTCTCCCTTGCTCTCTGCCTTGCTGATTGCCTGCATCCCTGACATTGTCGCTGCAACAATAGCAGCGCCACCAGCACCAGCACCGCCAGCACCAGCACCAGCAGCAGCACCAGCAGCCGCACTAACACGAGATGCAGCAGCAACCGCAGAAGCAGAAGCAGCAGCAGGTCCGGCAGCACCTGTAACAGCACCAGAACCAGCGCTGGCACCAGCGCCAGCACTCCCACCTCCAATCCAGTACCGTTGCAATCCCTCTCCTTCCAGGAGGCTCGCATCCCCTCTTCGCTTTCCTGCACGGCTACCTCCTCTGGTCATTCCATCCATCCATCCCTCCCCTGCGCCCTCCCACTGCCTCTGGTGTCCTGTGCTTCCTGTTCCTTGTTGCGCATTCCGACCGAATGCCTCATTCTTTCCCTCCAAACCCACTCCAAAAAAAGGAGCAGCAGCAGCAGTAGCAGCAGCAGCAGCAACAGTAGCAGGAGAGGAAGCAGGAGCTGCGACGCCAGAATCGGTGGCAGATCGAAGCATTGTTGGCACCACCATGGGTCTGGACCAGATGGTAGCAGGCTCGCTTCTCACTCTTGGGTAGCGGGCACTCGCAGCCCGCAACTTCATTCCAAGAGCAGCCGTTGCACTTTCACTGCGGTTCTTTTGACCGTGTTGCTGCTGGTGCTGCTGCTGGTGCTGTTGATGTCGCTTACGCTGTTGCTGTTGCTGCTGTTGTTGCTGTTCCTGACCTCCCTCCAGCCTACCACTGGCGTAGAAGAGACGTCCATCGCGTGCCTCTCCTTGTGGTCTCTCCACCATGGTAACCACTGGCTGAGGAGACAACCAATCAATCGATGAAGGTGGCAATAAACCACGGCCGCTTCTGTTTCCATCTGCCTGACCTGGCTTCACCAAACCCTCTGTTGGTGCTGCTTCCGCCTCAGCCGATCCTTGCTTTGTCACCATCCGTACCAGATCCTTGAACGTAGGAGTGACAAAATCCTTTTGCCCCATCATGTCACCTCCTGGTGCTCCCCTATTGTCAACAAACGTTGCTGTTCCTGCTGTTACTGCTGCTGCTGCTGCTGCTGCTGCTGCTGCTGCTGCTGCTGCTGCTACTGCTGCTGTTGCTGCCGGAGCTGCCAGATCCGTTGTTACGGCGGCTGCAGCAGTTCGCCTCTCCGTTTCTGTCAAGTTTGCAGTCGCAGTAAACTGGGGCATAGTACATAAATGACCCTCCTTCCCAGTCGAGCGGGGTGCACTCACGAGCAATGAAGTGGAGAGGCATGCGGAGAGCGAGGGAGACAAATGATCCTCAATCGGGGTCTCGGAATGTCCTGAGGTTGCATCAGCTGAGAAAGAGAGGCCTGATGATGAATTTTGTGGCAGTCCAGGCAAATTAACAAGAGGCAGAGCCGTTGCTGCAGCCGCTGCTCCTTGTTCTCCTGCTCTTCTTCCCTCCTCTCCGCGTGCTGCTTCACGAGCTCCTAAGGGGTTTTTCGCTACGGCTGCTGATGGCGGCGGCTGCGGCGCTGGCACCGTTCCTGCTGTTCCTCCTGATGATGATGCAGGAGCGAATGTAGGCAGATCACGAGCAGCAGTGAGTGCTTGTGCGTTAGGCACAGCACGAGATGGCCCCGTGCCGGGTCCCCTCTGATCAGCGGCATGATCATGCTGATTACCAGCCGCCCAGGTGATGATGCTGCTCCTCCAATTCTCCTTTGTCTTCTCGAGTTGCACACGTTTCAAACCAACACGTTCGGCTTCACCACCATCATCATCGTTATGAGGATGATGCTCATCATTCTTCAAGTTAGAACCATCATCGTCCGCAGCTGACGATGCAGCATCGTCGTCATCCGCATTGTCCCTATCCATCCCATCATCTCCCTCCCTGCTACCGTAGCAACCCCACTGCTCCATGCTGTGACAAACCTTTTAGCATCCCAGGCTGGCAAAACTCTAACACACGCCGAATTCTATCGTTCAAAGGGTATGTGGCCTGCACTATGACCTTTCTTAAAGGGTGGCACGCATGGGTTGCTTCATTTTGTCAGCGGTGCCTTGTTCAGTGGGCGCGGGACTCTGGCGCCCCATATCATAGCCCCAGCGGCTCCGCCCGCTTCTCCTAGCGACGTTGAATCAAAGGTGGGCAAAATCGTATATATATGGACGTTGGGCAGTTGATGGCGGGCCGCCATTCATTGACTACTAGTAGTAGTTAGTAACAGAACAAGTCCGACTTGAAGTCTGCCATTTGCCGCGAAGAGTCCTCCCAAGGACCCCGTTAGAGCCCCAGCGACTACTGGGATGTTAGGAGGCTCAAAACACTGGAAGCTGCAATAGCAGCGTTCCGAAAGCTAACATTTTGGATCCAAACTAGTACTACCGACATAACAATCTGAAAGCTTTGCGGCGAACAACTTGTTAGCCCTCAACAATGTCGAGTTTTGGAGGTTCTACTTCAAAGATGATCTGATGACATCGAATAAATGTCTTTTTTTTGACAGAGTATGTCCACTTGAAGGTGCTGCTTGGATACTCGAGCTCGAAGCTTCCTCGTGAAGCCAACGGTCCTCGCAGAATGAGAAGCCATGAAAACTACATTTTGGGGAAAAAAGACGAACTGAGCAGTGAAGCAAAGATATGGCTATCTTACCAGCTTCCTATGTTGAACAGCCTGGGCTAGAAATCACAGCTCTACTTAGAAAATGGGTACCCTTGGAAAAGCAGGAGACTAATTTGGAAAAGGGAGTCTTCATCAGCAGGCACACATTTTCAGCTGACGAAATGCTTTCAAAATGCTCATCAGCAAGCACAGATATGAAGAGAATCACCACCCACACGATGAGCAAAGAGAAACGATTCGAGGGGTACTTCTAAACCGAAATTAAGTGACGACGTTTAGGCGCGTTTCACCCAAGTGCAAGAACCGTTTGCTGCTTTGCTCGATTTTTGCCCAAGGAATCAGCAACATTTTAAAATATCGACAGCAACATTTAAGTCCACAAAATTTCACAAGGAAAAGTCGACAGCAACATTGAAGTCCACAAAAATTCCTCTCAACTTTTCTGTCGAAGGTACTCCATTCTCGAAAGGTAGTAGAGGAATTGTTTCTTATCGAGAACCCAGCTAATTGCCACACGTTATGTTTTCTACCCACACCAGATCACCATAACAGCTAATTCCTGCCGCGGGTTTGTGGTGACAGCTGGCAGCTCAGTGCAAGTCCTACAGAAATTGGTTCGTTGGGCGGGATACTGTACAGTTGACAACAAATGATGCGGTAGAGTTGCGGCGGTGACCGTGTACAAAATACAAAATTGTCACGGTGGTTAGTGAACAGCTGAGATCCACCTACAGTATTTAGTGTTCAATTCGACAGCTGGGAAAATCACCGTAATCCGCAGGCAGCTTGTGGCTGGACTATCATCACGGACAGCCACGATCTCGTTGTTTTCGTCAGAAGCAGTGATGGTGGTAACAGAGTTCGCCCGCAGTCGCCGCCAGCCTCTAGTGCCCTGGGCACGAAGATTTGTTGGCGACAAGGTCAGAGAGAAATTAGGACGTGGGGCCAACCGAGGTAGATCGGCTCGATCACACGCGATTAGTAATTTCGAGGAAGCCTGGAATCCAATTTCAGGCAATCGGGGGCAATCAGCTGATCGCGATCGGCTGATCGCACCAACTCAATCAGACCCAATTTTCACCCCGATCAGAGCCGATTTCCCTCGATCACAGACCATACCCGATTGCATGTGATCGGGGCCCACTGCGACGCTTGCGAGTAGTTACACTGTTGCAATTAAAGGCAAACGTATATTCTCGCCAGGTGGCGTACGGTCGCCATTCTCGCTAGAATGGGGACGAAAATGCGAGGTAAATGCTCCGCGCTTGAAAGACTTCTTGGAAAGCCTTCTTCGGGCACTGCGAACACAAGCAACCCGATCAGATCCGACCCGATCAGATCAGTCGCGATCAAACTCGACTGGGCCCACGTCCTTACGTAGGGCATCTATCCATGGTGCATCACACAACCATCGATCTCATATCTGATCTGGTTGTGGCAGCAGCAGTGAACCTCAGAACTTGCTTTCACGCCTGTTTTCTTTCATGAGACGCCCCAAACCTATTCTGACTTGATCGATCAGGCGGTAAAAAACTTTATGGGCTATAGATGATACTGTCATATGTCGACGCCGCAAAACTGCCAGGCTGCGACATGGGGTTGCTGCAACCGTCCACCTCCGCTAGCGTGTGTCCAGTGGTGCCTTCCTCCACCTGGGAAGATGTCGACACATTCTGGCCCTCGGATTTTCGGGTTACCACTCATCTAGCGGTTATCATTTCACGACCTGGCGTCAATGTTCACCTGGAACACGTGTCGGGTTCGCACGATAGAAATTTGCCGGAGAGTACAACAGATTCTCCGAATGGAAAGCAGCGACAGCACACAAACAGCCTGACACCTGCTCGCCGCAACCGCTGGCTGCCCATCATACGATCTGCACAACTCATCCTTCATAACCACTGGCCGATGTTGGATTTTATGTAAACTGCGTAACAGAATGATGTATATGAACTGTATTTAGGCCTCGCTGGACGGAAAATATAATTGTACACTGTAACTGGAACGGGGTTTGATACGCCCAAATCAGCCAAAATTGTACAACCACCGCCCAAGCAATCATTGTACAGTAAGCGAACATAGACGCGATTTATGTTCAGTACTCGTAACGTCCAGATAGAACCGATATATTTGCAGAATAAAAGCTCCTGCACTATTGTGTAAAGTACTTTGTATATCACTATTCAGCATACATATCATACGCCTTTTGAGAAGTGAATGTAAAGGAAATTCAACAACATATCGTCTGCATTCTATGAAACCGCAATGTTGAGCAGAAATTGTTGATACGATCAGAACAGGCTCTGCTGATAGGAAAGGCACAGCTATCACAATAAAACGAAGACTGAAAATGGATAAATCAACTACCACAAGCCATAGTTGGTGACACTACTAGTTAGGTTATACGGCATCCAATAAGGTAGTACTAAAAAACAGCTCATATTCAGTAGTCGATGTCAAGAACATCAGGTGCGGCCATCTCAACAAGCGTGTGAATTACGTCCAGAGGAAGCTCAGACATGTGCAATCCCAGGCGGTCTTGGGTCCAAGGGTGTTCCTGAACGAATAACCAGTTATCGGTATTATGAATTGCTGTCGTTACACACCAGCAAAGAACCAAGAAATAAATAAAACCACACCATCTTACCGGATATTCCGATTTGACATGGCACCACTGGTAGGAAAGGAGCAAGGCCTTCACGCTTTCCCTGAATGCTTCCGGAAAGCGATTGTGGGTTTCGGGGCTCCATCTGATAGATCCTGGCCTGACAATCACCATTTCACTCTCTTCAGTGTCTTCAGGGAGTGCGACCTGCAAGGTATACACCACTGGGAAGGATCAGAACGGATGTACACGTGTGCGAGTGTCTCTACCACCATGCGAGTGTATTGAACATCTGCGTACCAGCTTCTTCCCGACTACGAGAGGCTCATTTGAAGCGCATTCACGGAAGGCCCACGGGTGCAACACGAAGGTACGCTGACGATACGTCTGACCTGGCTTTATCTTTTCGTAAGCCACCTGCACATACAAGAACACACAAGAGTAGTTAGCAAGGAAGAGGTTATCACCAATGCAAAAACAGAGCCTAATACTGACAGCTTCGCCAATCTTACCTCCTTGCCGTCGTAATCAATCCAGAACGCCTGGATAGTATCAGTTGTCGCATTCTTGAAGGTAACAGTTGTTGCTCTTGTAGATGGACCAGACTTAATTGAGTGAACCACTTCCGAACCAGAAGTAGATGGAGGGCTTAAAGTTGAGTCCCCCTCTGCTCCCGAAGGCCCTGCCTGAACATGATCAGAGGATGAATGAGGACCGGAGCCCCGACTTCCTCCAAACCCTGAAAGCATGGCTCGTAAGGCGAACTTCCAGCAATTGAGGATGCCACTGTTCTCGTTTGTCATGACGGAATTTAACCGCAGACTTTCGAGTCAATGGCCTGTGATGGACCCGCCCGTCAGTTGCTGAAAGAGGGTCTCACCACCCCAGGTGATACGCGGTCCTTGAAGCTCGCACTGCTGAAACTGGAAGAATAAATTGTGACGACTGTCTGTCCGTAACTCTGTTTTGAGGCTGATCGAAGCGACCGCACACTGCTGGTCGAAGCTACTGTCATCCCTCGGGGATGTCTCATGGGTGGTACAACCGAGGTGGATCCCGAGGCCCAGCTATCAATCTCAATTGACCAGTGAGGTTTTTCTGATGTTGCCCAAAGCGGCGCCAGGACGTCCTTTTCGAGAATGACACCTCGACAACCTCGAATGGACATTTGGGAGAGCTAGGAAGAACGCCAGTATCAAGAATAGATATACCGCCGCGCATCCTGTACATGACAATAACGTTATAAATATCAAATCTAGCCAAACTATCTTTCTATTCATCACATGACAGGGAGAGCTGCATACTGTAGGTCTTAGGCTTGAATCCGTGTGCACATATCGATTTCATACATTGCATCACCTTGAATGGGAGGCACAAGACACTGTTAAATTCCGCACACGGCGAACGGTCATGATTGTCATGATTCTATCCGAAGAAGGATTGGATAATTGTGGTGTTCCATGGGTCGCTCAGATGCTGCAGAAGATTGGCAGTAGGTCCTGCATGGGTAAAGCCTGCCTGGACTGCAAAACCGACAGATGCCACCATCGCCAAACGCCCTGCAAGCATTCATGGACACAGAAGCAGCAGGTATATTGGTTATGACAGTGGCCACGAGAAGCAGGGACAAAAGCAGCACAGACGAGCTGCATTTGCAGCTGATATCTGAATAAACAACTTAACGAGCCAATAGCCCTCACCATTTGCCAGCTCCTGCTCACGAGCCTTGTGCCCTGTCACTGCATCAGCTGCCAGGCCGAAGGGGTTGAAGAGAGGACCTCCAGGGTAGCTGGAGGAACATAGAGAGACAGATGCAGCAAGAAATGATTTGGGTCCTAAGAGTCAGCACAAACCTTAAAAAAATCTGATTACACTGGGAAGGAACAGATCCTCCGTGAGGGATAACGCACTGCAGATGATTCATGGATATAGTGCAAGGAACCATCATGGTCCACGGACATCGACCACTCTCAATGACTTTCAATCTCATTCCAGCGCTTCTCACCCCACTCGTCCCTCACATAACGCCAATCGCTCCGACCAATCCCCCGCTCTCCCCTCTGTCCCATTCAGCAAGCCCGCATGCATCCAGCAACCCAAGAGATGCCCACCCAAACCCCTGCAAGGCCCCACGCACCCGTTGTCCGTGCCCAGGAAGGCGGGCTCAATGCCCAGGAACCACGCCTCGTCCTGCCCCTGCGACCCCGGCGCCTTGAAGTCCGCCCACCGCTTCAGCTCCACAAAGCTGGCGGGCGACAGACGGAGCGGGAAGGGAGATGGGGGAAAAAAGCCGGGAGGAGATGCGGGAGGGTGATGTGGGCAGCAAGCGGAGCGGTGAAGCGGGGAAGTGAGTCGGTGGGGAGGGGGAAACGGAAGAGTGATGGGGATGAGAAAATTGGGAGCAGAAAGACAAACGGTGCAAATAGGGAGTCATGCGGAGTTACACGGAACTACTTGGAACCATGCGGAACCATGCAGAACCGTGCAATAGTCCACAGGGACCGGGCGGCGACGTACTTGAAAAGGATGAACTGCACGGCGAAGAGAGTGGGCGCGTTGGCGATGTCGTAGTGCGCCGTACCCGCCTCGTACCACACGGGGAGGTCCGCGAGGCCCAGAGTGGTCAGCAACTGTGCACATGCATCCGGGGGGACGTTGCGCGGAGCAGGCGGGAGAATGGGAGAAGTAGCACGAGTGGGAATTACAGACCCTTACGAGTGAGAGGAAGAGCGGAATGTGGAGACGAGGGAGGGAAACATGGAGAAGCGCGGCGGGGTGGTACATGGAGTGGCGGAAGTATCCATCCGTTCATCTATCAGGAATCGTACGAGAAGCGCGTTCTCCCATCAAGGAAAAGCGTTTCATCCAGAATGTTCAGGCCTCCCTCTCGACAACGCTCCCCACCATTCCAAAGCATCCCTTCCCCCCTTTTTCCACCCTCCCACACCTCCCTTTCCCCTGCCTTTCACCCCGCCATTCCATTTTCCCCACCCCTTCCTTCCGCCTCCTCCCCCTCCCCCCTGTCCGCGCTCACATCAGTGCCGAGCACGCCGGCGACGCCCAGCATGGCCCAGCGGCAGTGCACCAGCTCCGCCTGCACGTACCACCGCAGAGCCTCCGCATCCTCCGCCAGTCCCAGCGGGTCGAACCCATTGTCGCCGGGAAGCCTGGAGGCGCGGGGACAGGAGATCAGTCGTAGCGTGGTTGGGATAGTTAGTCGATGGCTCGGCAGTGGTGTGGTCACTTGAATGCGGGACGCGGCCGCAAACGGACGTTATTTAACGATATCTTTTGTATTTTATTATAATTTTGTGAAAGCACATTTGCACATGTGTTCTGGGCAGTTGTGAGCAATGCCACACGACCTGCAGGAAGCGGCGAGGTTATTTCTCCGCAAATATTTCCGAGTTCCTGCCCATCTAGGTCGGAGAGCCATGACGAAGGGAACACGTGGGAGGTGATAAAAATCAGAAAGAAATGCTACTGAACGTACGAGCCGTCGAGATAAGCCGGAGCCGTGCTGCCAGGGAGCCAAATTGGCCTCGAGGCGCTGCTGCTGCTGCTGCTCGCCTCAGTGGCAACGGCGCATCGCACGCTGGTGAACGACCTCCTCGCGACCGCCACGGGCCGGCATTGCGAGCAGCGACTGGAGAGAGCAGTCCTGGTCAGACTAGAGCTCGAAAGGGCGGAGGCTACAGCACAGCAACGAGCAGTGGCCATTTCGAATCAGCCGAAAAGGGACGAGCCGGATAAGGGACGAGCCGGCAGATGAAGAGCGAGAGAGGCGCTTGGTGGAGCTCTCTTGCTGGGTGTGCCTGAGTGGTGCAGGCAGTGAAGGAGCTCCACCAAATCAGACTAAAACGGCAACAGATTTCCAGTGACAATTGAATGCTTCTTATCTCCAGCGGACTAGATTGATGTTGGAAGCATGTGCGAACCTGAAGTTTCCGGAAAACCAGAGGATTCTGATACAATAACGACGGCTTCTTTTTCTAGTTCTTCCCGATAGAATAACATTAAAAATGTGGAAGATTTTCCAGTGACGCAAATTAGTCACGCTCTGTGCTTTTACCGGGCGAAAGTGGTCTTGAATGCACATCAGATCAGAGATTCCAGGGACTTGCTGACGTGGATCGAAGATCGTGGGGGATAGAAAATCATCAACCACCAGTCGGGAAGGGGACTCAAGGTGCCACCTTGGATATACACTTCACGCGTTACTGCAGTCTCGCAAAATTAAAAAGCAATGAGCTACATCTATAGTTCAACACAATGTACATAATTCCGGCACAAATTTTACAAACAAGCAACCATGTTCATCTCATCACCACCGCTCTCTCCGCTTCCGAGCAGACCTTTTCCCTGAAACCAATTGAGGAAGGCAAGTGGACGACCCTGCAAAGAGAAATGCAATACTGGCAGTTGGACTGACCGGAGAGGAGGCAAGCACACACTTGACCGGCTGCTCATGAATCTGAAGGGCATCACACCCCCATATTAGCTCCCCATCCCGCCTGGAACCAAGGAGATCCATGCCATCCACTTTCTGCTTCTTCTGACACTCCCCCTCAACCACATCACCCCTCTCCCAAGCAAAAACGCCCTTCGAAGAGCTGTCAATAGCTTTTGACTGCTCTGTACACTGCTCCATCCCCAGACGACAACCAACCTGCTTCCACTCCTCTGCATCACCCTTGGTCCCCCATGTCGAATCAACTCCCCTCTGCAAATTATCCTGCCAAGCACCATGCGCTCCTGACCTTTTATCCCGTGCTTCATCCCTCATCTCATGCCCATTTCCATGCGCAGGCTCATGCACAGGCACAGGCATAGGCCCGCAATCACCACGCCCATACACGAGATGCCTCTGCTCAATCCCACCGCCGTGCCTGCTGCTGTGGCAGTCCACATGCTCATGCTGATTATGTTCCCTGCGCCCATGCAGATCCCTCTCTACAGAACTGTACCCATCTCTAATCCTGCTCCTCTCCGTCTCCCTTTCTCTCTCCCTTTCCCTTTCCTTCTCCCTCTCCCCAAGTCGCTCTTTTAGCACCTGCTCGTGCAGAAACCCATGCCTGTCACCAGCTGACAGTGCATGCTCCTCAGCCCCAGCAGCTACTGTAATATCCATAAATGGGGATCTGGAGCGAGGCGAAGAGGTAAAGGGCAGAGAGCGGGACGGGGACTGGGACCCCCGTGATGCCTGCAGGTGCTGCTTCGACCATTGCTGCTGCTGCTGTTCGTGGCACGGCGCGGGAGAGTGCAGTGGCGAGCGAAGAGGCGACTGCAAGCGTCGGAGGGGGGATCGATGGGACGAATGGGAATAATGCCGGCGATTGGGAAGGAGGTGGTGCTGCAGCGGATGTTGATGCGGCTGCTGCTGATGCTGATGTTGAATCCCCTGCTGCAGATGCACGCATTGCTGCATGTGATGGTGGTACGCATGGCGAGGAGATGCACGCCCGCCACCTGCACGCCCAGGCGCAAACCCCCGCCGGCCCGCCGAAAACGCGGGGCAAAATGGCGGGAAGTGCGGCAGGTGCAGAGGGTAGTAAGGCAACAGAGGCGAGAAGGACGCATGGCATGGAGAGTGCAGCGAGAGGGGGTAGGCCAGGAGCGTATGTGCATGAGGATTTGGATGGGAATGGGTATGGGCATGCGGATGGGGATGGCGAGAGAACGACCCAGGTTCCGGGAACGATGCCAGTCCGGCCCTACCAACGGGAGAGGAGAAGTGTGCGGGGGAGATGTGTGAGGGGGATGAAAATCCCCCTCGAGGCGGAGTAACGAACGGTAGGTGAGGAGGGGAGAAGAGGGTGGGACGGCGTGTAGATGGCACGGATGGTTGCTTAGGGGGGAGACCTCGAGGGCCCGTTGGAGAGAGCGGGTGAGGTGGAGGAGGGGAGTGCGTGGAGGGACGAGATGGGGCGAGGGGGGGAGATGAGAGCGGGGAAGGTTGATTCAGGGTGGCAGAGACGTGCTGAGAGCGCTGGCGGTGGTACTGCTGGTACTGATTCTGCTGCTGATGCTGTTCACGTGAAGGTGATGAGGAGCGAGGAAGGGGCGCCTCGTCATGAGGTGGAGAGCTGGCTTTGGAGATGATGTGTGCATGGGGTGGAGAAGAGAGGGATGGGAGGCCTATAGAAACTATGCCGCTTGCACTTCGTTCAGCGCCAAATGATGCACCTAAGTCCCTCCGACTCTCCTCCCCCCACTCCCTCCTCTTCTCCCTCACACTCTCCCTCTCTCTCACTCTCTCCCTATCCTCCCTCTCCCTTCCCCTCTCCTCTCCGCCCTCCCTCTCTCGTGACCTCTCCCTTCCCTCCATAGCCTCTTTCTCCTTTCCGCTTCCCGTCTCCTTTCCCATCCCCAACTGATTTCCGCTCCCCATCTCCTTTCCCCTTCCCCGGTCCGATTCCCTCTCTTCATCCCTACTCTGGTTGCTCTTCATCACCCCAGCTACTCCTCCAGCACTCCTACCATCAACGCCACTACCGCAACCACCATCTACGTTCCCTCGCTCGTCGCTCCTTGCTTCAACGCGCCTTTCCTTATCACTCTTTCCTTCGTGCCTGTCTTCCGCGTGGATGCTACCCTCGTGATTCTCGCCCACGTGGTTCTTAGCCTCGTCGTCCCTCACCACGTGGGTGCAGCAATCCACACTCTCGCTCCGTATCTCCTCTTCCTTCACGCCTTCTCTCGCTCCACTGGCCTCCTTCGCAGCAGCTGCGCACTCGCTCCTGCCCACCACAGCCTCCCACGTGCAGGCTCCTCGCCTTGCATCCGCGGCAACAGCAGCAGCCGTTGTCTCAGCGCCTGCAGCGGCAGCAACGCGGCAACCTGCGTCACCAGAATCAGCATCAGCAACAACCGTTGCAGCAGCAGCAGCACCAACATCCGAATACGCGGACCCTCCTACAGCAGCAAGCCTAGATTCCTGGTCGGCCGCGTCCCGACTCTCAACATCCACACTCGTCCTCACACACTCCCCTTCTGATTCCCCTTTCCTGCCATTCTCCCTATTCCACTCCACTTCCTCCTTTTCCTCCTTGGCCTTCTCGTTCTCCTGCTCCTCTTTCTCCTTCTCCTTCTCCTGATTCTGCTCCTCCTCCTCCTCCTTCTCCTCCTCCTTCTCCTTCTCCTTCAATTTCTCCTCTTCCTCCTCCAACTCCTCCGCCTCCTCCGCCTCCTCCGCCCCGCACGGCTGGACGCTACTCCCACCTTCCAAACCGCCAATGCCCTTGTCCTCCCTACAAGCTTCCTCGATCCTCTGCTCATCCATGCAGCACGCGTCCTTGTCAGCCTCTCTAACGCCAGCACTACCACCGGCAGCAGCAACTTTAGCACCACTACCAGCACGGCCGTCTGTCTCTCTCCCACGCCTGGGCACTGAACCACAAACAGGCCCCACACTCGGCCACTCCAAGCTAAGACTTATCTCCTTGCCCCGCTTGCCCTTCCCGGCGGCTTTGCCCTTCCCATCGCCCCCACTCGCCTCCTTCGTCCGTTTCTTCCCGTCCTTTCCCACTTCTCTCTGTCCCCCCGTTGCCTTGCCACTACCGACGGATCGAGCAGTGGGAGAAAGAGGGTGAGACTGCGAAGAAGCCGCCGCTGCTGCTGCTGCTACTGCTGAAGATGGTTGTGGTTGTGGTTTTGACTCGGGCTTGAGGTGAGGCTTGGAGGGGCTTAGGGGTTGCGGATGAGGTGGGGGTGGGGCGTGTGTGCGGCGCAGGGAGTGCAGGAGGGGCGTGAGTCGCAGCTCCAGTAGCAACATGTGCATCACCTTGTCGCATTGACCTCGAATCACCTGCCACGTACATGCCACGCACAGGCCACGCACATGCCACGCACATACCACGCCATGACGTCACCATGCGATCACGCCAAACAAGCGGAAGAAAAACGCATCGAGACACCACGCCCATCAGACCATCATACCACCCAGTGCCACAGGAAATCATGAGCGATAACGACCAGAAATCGTATGCAAAAACAAGCCGAGTCAAATCACCTCCCACATAGTAAGAAAACAATAACGGGTACGCAACAATCAACGCGGACGGGGATCATTCAGAGAGGGCAGAGAAGCAACAGACAAGTGAATACATGAATACGTGGCAAGAGGCTCGAACTGCTGCTGCAGCAGCTTCACACCTCGAAACAGACCCTTCTCCCTTCCAGCCATTCCCGCCCTTCCGTCTCAATCCCCTCACCACCACACACCAAACCAACCCCAACCCTTCAGCCTTCACCCCTCGCATCACACCAGCCTGTCCTCCCCCCCACGCTTCCCCATTTCCTCTCCCAAAATTTCCCCCCATTTCCCCCCCCCCTCTCCGCGCAAACTCCCGCGCGCACGCACAAGCTCCGCGCGCGCGTCCATGGGGGTGGGTTGCAGGTTGATGATCACGAGCCTTCCGCCGTGGCGCGGCACACTGGCGGGGAAGTTGCACGCGGGACCCACGCGCAGACTCGACCCCATCACCAGCGCCACGTCCGCGCGGTCGCTGTGGCGCTTCGCGGACTTCAGCGGCTGGAAGCGGACCGCCGGGGGGAGAGGGGGGCGGTTGGGGAAGGGGAATAGGGTGGGGAGGGGAATCGGGGGAGGGCGGAGGAGAGGGAGGAAAGAGGGGGTGTGTGGGAAGGGAGAGAGGAAGGGGAAGGGGGTGGAGAGAGGGGAAAGGTGGAATGGGGGGATATGAAGATGAGGAGAATGGGGAAAAGTGAGTCGGAATGCAACGAGAAACCAAAACCAGAAAAATGCAGCCAGGTATCGTGATACGCGAATGACACATTTGACAAAAGGAAAAGGGAGGGAGGGAGGGAGCGGGGGGGTTGGGAGAGTCGGGAAGAACGGGGGGCGGGCGGGGCATGCGGGGCGGGGAGTTGTGTGGGGAGAGCGAATGGGAAAATGAGAGAGCACGGGGAGAAAGCGAAAAATGAGGGTTGGAAAGGCGAGTGGAGGAAGCAGTACCTCGTTGGGAAGGCACTCTCCGAACAGCACGACGCAATCCTCTAGCTCCCCTCCGCACCCCTCCACTTCACACATCCTCCCCGTCCGATGGTCGAACTGCAACTCCTCCTCCTCCTCATCCTCATCCTCATCATCCTCCTCTTCCTCCTCTTCTTCCTCGTCCTCTTCCTCTTCCTCCTCTGACTCTTGTTCCTCCTCCTCTTCCTCCTCATCCTCGCTACTCTCCGACTCGCTATCAACAAATCTCCTCGCTCTCGCGCTTCGCGCTCTCTTCGCCTTCCGCTTCGCCGCCTCTTCTCCTTTATCATTCCTTTTCCGCTTTTTCAGCGCAGCACTACCACCTCCTCCACCCTTCCCCCCACTTCCAACCCCCCGTGCCTTCTCCTTCCGCGCGGATCCCTCCCCCCTCTCCCCCTCTTTCTTCCCCCCGTCCGCCACCACCCCCGTTGTGCGCTCCAGCAGGATCTTCGCCGCGCGATTCGCGTCCTCCTGCGTCGACCCGCGCGCCGTCGTGAGCCCCTTCCACACCGAGTATCCGCGGAAAAACTCCGCGCCGCAGCGCGCGCACACCTCGCGACAAAAGTTACCGTGCAGCTCGCTGATTTCCTGCGACCGCAGCCCAGATCGCCGGTGCAGCCCGTCGATGTTCTGTGACACCACGTGTCGCACGACGCCCGCCTGCACCATCGCCGTGATCGCAAAGTGGCTCAGCGTCGGCGACACCTGCTCACAGAGCGGAAAACACCAGGCGCAAGAGGGTGTAGGAAAATCGGTAGGAGGGCGGGGAAGGGGGCGGTGGGGGGTGGTGGAGAGGGAGGCGCAGAGGGAAGAGAGAGGGGGGGAGGAGAGGGGGGAGGATGGGGGGAAGCGTTGGGCGAATAAGGGAGTTCTCTCGTGTGAGCCAACACACGTGCACGCGAGAGAGGTCTCGTGAAATGTATGCCCGTGCCGACAAACTTAAGTGCCTCCCTCCCCCTCCCGTGCAGAGCGTCGATGTTCTGCGACGACACGTGTCGCACCGCGCCTGCTTCGACGGTGACCCATCGCCAGGATATCGAAATCCGTCAGCTTAAGCGATACCCGACGACGGGAGAAACGCGCGGAAGGAAAACGGCGGGCGGAGATTTGCGGAGTGTGAGTCGTGACTGTGGCTAAACGAGACGGGAAAAACGTGGGGGGAGGAGACCGCAGGACGAATGCAAGGAGTAGCGCGAGGGAACTCGCGCGTAAGAACGTGCGCGTGAGAGGTGCACGTGTACGTGTGGGTGGGCGAATGAGTCAGAGCTAGGTCGAAAGCTAAATTGACGGTGACGGCGACGGCTTACCTGAAGAAAGTTCGGCTCTTTGACTTGAATGCCCTTAGAGCGCAGCGTCCACACGCCGTTCGGCCCCCGATAATCCGGAATGCCTGCTGACGTGGAGATACCCGCGCCGGTGTACACCTGCACGGGGAGAAGAGAGTCCAAGCGTTGAGAAATACAGCGGAGAGGGGCGAAAAGGGAGAAAACAAACGGAGGACGCGCAGAAAGGGCCGGTTCAATGGGGAACGGAATCGAAGCACGTGACGACGGCGTGTTAGCGACAAATAAGGAGTAACCTTCGTGAGTTTAATGGGCGAGGAGAAAGAGGAAAAGCGGCACAACGATTTAGTCAAACCGGTTTCGCCTTGCATAAAAAACGTCGCACGCCCTGCCCCACCGCTGTCCCTCACTCGAGCACACATGCGCGCCACCGAACCCACAAGCTATGTCACACAATCCACCCACTCTCCGCACCCATTCACGGTCACCCACAAATCTGCAATTCAGCCACCAGTCACGCTTCCACAACCCAGTCCTTCCTTCCGTCCCTCACTTTAAAAACACAACAACAACGCCGACCCACCATGGCGTATCTACTCGTCTTGAGCAGCCGCGCGAGCTCCTTAACTTTCGTTGCAAGCACATCCGGCGGATCAAATAATTCTCTTTCACCCGTGCTGTCTTCGCTACCTCCCCCGCACAAAGACCCTCCAAGCCCCCGACCCCTCCCACCACCGCCGCCGCCGCCACCAACGGAACTCTTTCCTCTGGCACCGTTCTGACTCCCCGCTTTCTTCTTTCCCCCCGCTGCGCAATGACCACGGGGACTCCCACGGTTCATCACGGCACTGCTTCCGCTACTCGTGCTTCCGCCTCCGCCACCGCCGCCGCCAAAACCGCGCGCGTTTCTGCCGACCTTTCTACACCTGCCAAATGCCTCTTGGCTGCTGTCGCTGCTGGTAGAGTTAGTGCTGTTGGTGGTGGTGCTCGTGCTGGTGCTCGCCGATGCACGGGAACACTGCGATTGACGATTCCCAGCGGGCTTTCTACCAGAGTTTCCGCCGAAAGCTGTTATCGACGGTTTCTGTCTAGGGGTTGCCGATGAACGCTGCGTGGCTGGGCTCGATAGATGCCTACCATTCGCCATGCGGTCAGGTTAACGGCTGTGCGGGAGGGAATTAGACGCACGTTGCAGTGAACGGGAAGAAAACGAAATAAACGTTTGCGGTGAAGCACAGATGGAGATTCGAGAATTGAAAACACAGGAACCAATGCCGGCTCGCCGCTGAGGGACGCTGAGATTTCTCACATAACCATAGGCACGAAACACTAGAATCTCAAACTTCGCAGAGATGGGGGCAACGGAGACTAGAAGAGCTGCTTCGGGCGTACCTGCCGAAGGAACTACTCCGTCTGCGCTCCAAAAATACGCTGCTATCGACAGAAATAGTTAAGCCACATAAGAAGGTTGAAAGGTGATTCTATCAACTTCTTAGTAATAAAGTCACCGCGCAGAAATGTGGATTAAGTCGAGCGTGAGTAGGGAACGGATAGGAAAACTTAGGTCGAAACTGGGAAACGGAATGTTGTGCAACCCCAACAACTTCAAGGGTTTCAGTCAAATGGTACTGCTGGAGCTCCTTGACAGAATACTTCGAAGCAGAAGGGGAAAGAGTAAAGGAGGGAGGGGAGAGATGAAGGCACAACAGGAAAGCGGAGGGGAGCGGAGGGGAAATGGTGTGCGGAAGAACGAAATGAAGCGGGGGAAGCGGAATGGGCTGGGTTGCGGAACGGGAATAAAAGACAGCTTTGGTGGCGGGACGGCGGGGTGAGGGTGTGCGGAGCGGAAAACGGGTGTCTCTCTGCACCAGCACCGTCTGTGCGCAAAAGGAGTGCGGGTTTTGTTTGTCGGGGCAGTTAACTTATAACAAACGGTTTGCTGTGCTGCCCCCGAAACTACGTGGAAACAAGAATTCGCACAACGTGTACACAATTTTTGCTGATCTTCGGGTTCCAGCACTTCCGAGAGACTGGCAGCCAGAACAAATTGGGCAATTACATGCCCGGCCATATTTTGGTGGGGGGAGAATACACGTCACAAAACCATAAGGTTTGGGCTTTTTGTTCCACCTCATACTAGAGTCTCCTGGGACCTCGTTGATGTGGTGGGCAGGTTCCCCAGATATTGTCAGTGCAGGTAAGCCGACGCGGATGACGGTTTGGCGGGTAAACGCGGGCGGAAGCCCTTGGCGCAGATTTGGTTGCGTGTGGCGGGAGAGTTTGTGTGCATCTTGGGTTGGTCGAAAATTACAAGAGAGACCCTGACCTTAGTCGGTTGCGCACTGCGCACACATCGGGATTCCGGACTGAGGGAGGCGTCAGGCGGGCGCAGAGTTCAGCACAGCCAGGGGGAACCAAGGGAGGGACAGGCGGCCGGAGAACTGGTTGCGGAGAGCGAAGTGTTCCGCCCCGCAGGAGTGAGTGCTCAGGGGCTCTGGTATGTGTTGACGTGTCCGCCGAGTGCGGTGCCGCAGTCGCACCGCTGGCAGGCGGAGGCTGACGCGGAAACATCTACAAGCAATTCAGAGTACAATAATATATATTCGTATAAGGTGGACAGACAACATGATTAGTGCTCTACCTTCATGTATAATGTTTTGAATACTAGCTAGATTTTTGGATAACACATGCTTAGAAAACGAGCAATATTTACCTCGTACTCTTCATCTACAATGTGCATTATTTTTTTACACCCCCATTCAGGTTGGAAAATTGAGAGGAGGGTCGAGTGATGAAAATATGATAACTTGCCATACATACCGGCTCGATGAGAATGTGAAATGAAAATACTTTATGCAGTCGATATGCACGACTTCTTCTAGTTCCAATTCAAGTGGCATAGGCCCAATTCTCAAGTCAAGAAATTTGAAATGAAACAACGGCCTATACATATACATTTCGGGGTCACAATCGACCGTACCGCTCTGTGCTGTAAGGAGTTGTGTTTGTTAGTTTTATGCATTGGAGGTTTAGAAAAATACATACCTTTAAGCCTACATTCTATGTACCCGAATTATCCCATGTGAATTAGAAGACTTCAACACGTTCTCTTTATTTAACATGCATTTTTTCATTCGATTGGTGTTACGAATAGTGGAAAATGAATGGACCCTTGTGCAATCATTACCGCAGCAACCGAAGCACGCACTACCGAGGTTGAAGACGAAAGGGCGGGGGTAACACGAAAAGACGTACAATTACAGAACGATCTGGACCGTCAGGCAGACAGCATCAGGCAGCAGCAGTGGCGAGGATTCTACCTGAACAGTTTCGTAACTGTCTGGAGTCGCACGGTTGGATTTCGCTGTAATAAGGGCATGTACCCCATAAAGTACATGGCTCACTAGGACATTTCGAATTCCCATGAACTCATATTTATTTTTTTATGTATTTGTGTGTTTTAATCATATAAAGCATTTTACATTCACCCTGCTATTGAGGTCAAGGGCCCACCACTACTACCCAGTCTTGTGCGAACCTTCATGAGGTGATCCTAGGCACGATCAATCTTTGATCGCAACATGGTATGAGAGCGACTCAGGAATCTTTCACAATGCCACCTCCAAAATCTTTCACGATTGGAAAGCGGCGTCCGGTACACGCTCGCGGGTGAGAATGGCCAAAGGATCTGGTGGTTAGACGAATCTGACGGCTAAAGCGCAGCCCAACCCGACTTCAACAAGCGAAGAAACGACGACGGTTGGAACCGCCGTCCTCGCACAACTGCTTCAAAGACTCACCAGCTTGGAGCAAAAGCTGCAAACATTGCGGAATGGCGACGCGGGAACTTCCTCCCAACCCTCTCAACCGGCCCCAAACGTGTCAAACTTATATGCTATGGTCTATCTAGGCTATAGTGGGGTACACACTATAGGGTACAACATACCCCCAGGCTCCACACCCCCAGGCTCCACACCCCCAGGCTCCACACCCACAGGCTCAGCACCCCCAGGCTCAGCACCCCCAGCAGGACGAGAGTCGACAGCTACCTCAACAGGCTCAACCGAGTCTACCTGAGACACACCTGAGGGAGCGGCACCCTGAGGGGGGAGGGGGTCTGCAACAGCAGCACCTGGCACGAGGAAGAGAGGCGGGGGGGGGAGCGGGGCAGTGCGGTAGGGGAAGAGGCGGTAGTAGGGGACGGACTCGTCAAAAGTGACGTCCTGGGAGGGCAAGACTCGGCGCGAGGTGGCGTGGTAAAACTGCCAACCAGACGCGTCCGGGACAAAGCCGAGGAAGACGCAGGGAACAGCACGGGAGGAGAGCTTGTCCGCAGACGAATCGCGGACAAAAGCTCGAGACCCCCAGACCCGGAAACGCGACGCATCGCCAACCTCCCCCGTCCACAGCAGCGTGGGCGAGGTCTCCGGCAAGGAGACACGGGGCCAGAGGTTGAGCTGATGCGCAGCGTACCGGACCGCAAACGGCCACAGAAAGTGGGGGGCAGCCGCATGGATCAAGGAGGTACGGGCGACCTCCATGACCAGGCCAATGCGGCGCTCCGCAACCCCATTCTGCTGTGGAGAAGCCGGAAGCGTGAACGACTGCTCAATGCCGTGCTCAGCACAGTAGGCTGCCAAGAGGTCGGAGGAGAACTCACCACCTCTGTCAGAGTGCAAGCGCAGGACAGGAAAGTCCGAGTGAAAACGCTCGCTGAGCTGGAGACGGGCTCTGCGGATCCAAGGGATCAAGACATCAGGGACCTCACCCTTGGTGCGCAAGGGGAAGACCGAGGTGTAGCGCGAGTAGTCGTCAACAACTATCAGGAAGTACCTCTCCTGACCCTGACATCGGACGCGGGCTGGGCCCCACACGTCCATGTGGAGTGTCTGCAAGGGAGCAGTCGTCGGGGGGAACGAGGAGGAGTGAGGAGCGGCGCGCTGCCGTCCCTCGACACAGGGGAGACAGGTAGGAGCAGGCGAGGGTGGGAGGGGAGGAAGGACCCTGGGCAGGCCAGAGACAAGGTACCGGGAGTGCATGGCACGAAGCCGCTGCACAGACGGGTGGCCAAGGCGGTGGTGCCAGAGGACAGTCTCGTGTGCCAAAGAGCGACACGAGCAGGGGGCGGACAGCTGACCTGACGCGGACGCGGACGCAGTCGCAGCAACCTGAGAGGACTCAGTAGTCAGTGTGTACAGGTCCGACCCCGGCTGCCAAGTGAAGGTAGCCAAGTAACGGCCCGTACGAGCACACGTGCAGTGTGTCACGCGCTCGTAGGCAGGGGTGAACTGGTGAACACCCCCGTCCTGGAGTGCACATCCTGCCACCAAGTTCGTAGAGAACGAGGGGAGGTGGAGACCTGACAGTGTGCCCGACGGGACCGCAGGGCAGGGAAGGACAGTGGAAGAGGTCGCAATGACCGGACCCCCAGAGGGGTCAGCAAGGGAGACAGCAACTGGCCGAGCAAGCGGCTCAAGGGCAGTGCGGTCACGAAAGAAGCAGCAAGAAGCACCTGAGTCCAGTGTGAAGGTGTGCAGTGCAGCAGTCGACGCAGTACCAAGGGGGGGAGAAACACGAGCACCTAGAGCAGCAGCCTCACCAGCACCTGGGGTAGCCGACACGCGAGTACCTGGAGCGGCAGACGCACTGGCCCTAATGCCCGGGCCGGGCGGCACACACAAGTACTCAGCAACCTCTCCACTAGTAGACATCACATACATGGCAGATAGAATAGCATCAAAGTCTAGAGCATAGATATCAATCCCCTTCTTCAGGAGATCAAGCCAGCGGGGCAGCTCAGTGGCCTGAGGGAACTGAACACGCCAAGCGTCGTCGAGACGAGAGAAGCAGCGCTGTGTGGCGTGCGGTCGTCCACACTGCTGACCAGTGCGGTCACCAGTGCGAATGACGTACGTGCAGCTAAGACCACCCCCACCCCCGTGCTGAGAGTACCACTCACGGACCTCCTGGGGCGAGGGAGTGTGCTGCTGGCCCTGGCCACCGCCAGTGCCTCCACGGCCACCACCACCGCTGCCACCTCCTCGACCACCCCAACCCCTGCCGCCGCCTCGTCCACCGCCACCCCAACCGCCGCCTCCACTCCTGCCACCTCCCCCGCCGCTGCCGCCACCACCCCCACCGCTACCACTCGCCCCTCCAGCCGAGCCACCACCCCCACTGCCTCCACCGCCCCCACCGCCGCCTCCCCCGCCGTCACCGCCACCACCCTTGCCCCCTTTGCCCTTGCCGCTGCGGCGTCCGCTCGAGGCAGACGCAGCGCCGACCTTCTCATTACCAAAAAGGTCGACAGCAGCAGCAGAGGCGATAGAGGGAAGGAGGGGGGAAGGAGAACACCCCTCAAAGAACGGGGTACGGGGGTCGCCACGAGAGGCACCTACAGCGACTATGCTAGTCTCAGCTGCAAGTAGCTCCTTCTCGAGGAGGGCAATGGTGAGCTCAGTGGGGCAACGAGCTAGGAAGTGGTCCCTGACAGCACGCAGTGTGTCAGGGAGGCGGGTGACTAGGTGGTAGAGAGTGAGCCAGAGTGGAGGGGGGTGCGTGGCAAGGAACTCAGCAGGCATGGCGGCACGGAAGCGGGCCTCACTAGTACGGAGGTGCGTGATGAGGTCAGCGACTGTGTGGAAGGAGGCCAGGTCGGGAAACAGGTAGGGGAGGGAGAGATGGCCTAGTGCGGCAGAGGCAGGTGAGGAGTAGCGAGCAACTACAGCTGTGTACAGTGCCTGTGCAGTCTTGTGCTGACCAAAGTGCTCGCGTTCGTCTATCGGCAGGGAGTTGCGAATGGCAAAGCGAGCGTGGGCATCATGAGTCTGCCACTGTGAGCGAGCAGTGCTGTCAGCAGTAGCAGCAGGGGCAGTGACATGGCCTAGGGCGTGATCGTACAGTGAGATGTCATCCTTGGCTGTGAGCTGTAGGTAGAGGTGCAGGTCATCGAGCCAGGTGTCAAACTTCACAGGGCGGCCCTCAGCATCGAACACGAGAACCTGTGGGCTAGCCATAGGAACAGTAGAAATAGCAGCAGTAGCAGTAGGAGAAGCAGGTAGGACGAACCAGGTAGGGCAGGGCGGCGCGGCTCGGTTCAGGTCGGGTCGCGGCTCGGCTGGGTGGCGCGGCTCGGTTCAGGGCGCGCGGCTCGGGTCGCGCGGCTCGGGTCACGGCGGGGACGGGCCGCCCGCTCTCCCTCGTGTGCTGCGGCGGGAACGGGCCGCCCGGGGCCTCTAGGTGGTGGGCACGGGTCGGCGAGGTCGGCACGGGGCCGGTTGGGGCCCTAGAGGGGCGAGCGCGGGGCCGATCGGGGCCTGAGCGGGGCTAGCGCGGGGCCAAACGGGGCCTTGACGGGGCTAGCAAGGGGCCGACAGGGCCTGAACGGGGCTAGCGCGGGGCCGACGGGGCCTGAAACGGGGCTAGCGCGGGCCCGATCGGGGCCTGAATGGGGCTAGCGCGGGGCCGACGGGGCCTGAAACGGGGCTAGCGCGGGCCGACGGGGCCTGAAACGGGGCTAGCGCGGGCCGACGGGGCCTGAGAGGGGCTAGGGCGGGGCCGACGGGGCCTGA